GGGGGGGTAATTTTCAATTTTGTACCCCAAACGGTCCTTATCTGGCTCTTTATGTGATCAATACGCAGCAAAATGACTGGTTTATTTTATTTTGTAGTTTCAGTAAGAGTTTTACAGCACTTGTAATACAGCTAGTTCATAGAAGTGCCGACGATTACAAGTGTTTTAACAGAGCAATATTCAAAAGGAAGAGAAAGAAGAAGTAAGGACGACTGATGTTTTATAGGAAAGAAGGAGCAAACCACACAATGACACCCACCAACCACCCACAATGTATACGTGGTGAATTTAATAACGATAACAAGAATGGTATGACTTAATGACTTAAGAGAAGGTATTGATCTCAAAGTCATCCTCTTTGTCAAGAAATTCAAACTTCAAAGCATGTCTTACAGCTTTTGAACCTTGGCCTACTTAAACCTTATCAAAAGTAATTATAGCAACTTTGTCATCAATGCAGGGACAATAGTATAACTAGGTCAGATCAGAGACTGGTAATATGATCACACACAATGACACACAGACACACACACACTTATACACCCACATACACACTCACACATTATGCCAACGCGAATGCACATACACACACAAACACACACACACACACACACACACACACACACACACACTTATTCGACCGCTCAGTGCAAGTCTCCGTCATACGTCGTTGTCTTTTCAAAAGTGCGTATCGCAGAGTCTTACTTAAGCAGTCGATATGTGTGGTTTGGTTGTCGTTGTCAGTCCAGCAATTAAATACAATGCAAAGCAACAACTCTGTCACTATCAATCCTGTATTTATTTACCAAGGGCCGCCGATAAGATGAAGTCACGTGACTGTCCATCCCGTCATAAGGTGCCCGACGAGACAACACACACTAGGCCTACACATCCGTGTACCACTTCATCACGACGTCAAGACGAGCAGAAGGAGAACCGCCATTACAAGACGCTCATCTCGCAGACGTCAGACATGTCCGGGGCAGACGCGAGTATTAAAGAAGCTCCAGATTTTGCCGAGGTGGGTCCTTTTTTAAAATGTAGGTCTTTTTTACCCCCAGGTCGACGCACAACAGGTCTCCGGCGTCTGTGGTGTAGCGGTTATACAGGGTCCCCATTGCGGATGGGATCGGGTTGGGTCGGGATGATCGCCCGACTAGTCGCCTGAAAACAAACGCGTTTGCTTTTGAGGCGACGAGTTGGGCGCGATTGTCTTGTGCCACGATAGCCGCTTTCGCCCCCCATCAGGATAGTAAACCGAGCCGAGCCGAGCCGACCCGACCCGAGCCGACCCGACCCGATCACCCAATTGGCACCGCGTATAAGGCGCTTCGCTGTCGCACGCAGGAGACCCGATATATTCAAAGATTTTTAAAAAGCCGCACTGGGGATTGGAACCAAGTCCATCTGTTATACCAGTGAACATACTAGAGTCTGTGGTGCAGTGGTTAGGCGCTTTGCTATCAGGTCGCACGATGAAGACCCGAGTTCGATTCCCCAGTTGGGAGGAATTTTTATTGAGTATCTCGGTCTTTCTGCAGGAATGTTGTGTACTTCTCAGCCTGAGTTGGTCTTGACAGATGGTCGAAATCCGCGTGCTTCTGTAGATTCCAGTTGGTCTTCCTCTTCTTCTTTTCTTCCTCGTTGGCCCCTATGTCTGAAAGGGCAATCTTGTCTCTGGCATTCTCAAAACATGTCCTTAATATCCCCATCTTCTCTTTTTTTATGGTCTACTTGACAATATCTCCAATTCCAGGTCTTTCCAACACTTCATTATTTCTTATAAATTCATTCCATGTTCTTGATAAAATATTACATTATAATGAATTATGTCTCTGTCTCTAGGTGATGAAGGCCAAAAGCATAATGTCTGCCATGAGGCAGGCAGTGAGGAACGGAGCCTTGCCTGTGGTAGAGAAACTGCTGCCTGTCGTACGTCACAGCATCTTGCCTGTCAGCAAATACCTTGGCGGGAACTCTTTCGATAACGTCATTCTTGCAGACGCTGTGGAGCTCGGACACTGTGATGTCATAAAGATCCTGGTGAGTGAGGGAAAAACCCAAAAGACCGTCGGAATAATGTGTACTTAATTCTCTGTCCACTACGTTTTTGTTTCGACGTTGCTGTTGCTGATATTGTTGCTGTTGTTGTTGTCGTTGTTGTTGTTGCTGCTGCTGTTGTTGTTGTTGTTGTTGTTGTTGTTTTTGTTGTTGCTGTTGTTGTTGTCGTTGTTGTTGTTGTTGTTGTTGTTGTTGTTGTTGTTGTTGCTGTTGTTGTTGTCGTTGTTGTTGTTGCTGCTGCTGTTGCTGTTGTTGTTGTCGTTGTTGTTGTTGCTGCTGCTGTTGTTGTTGTTGCTGTTGTTGTTGTCGTTGTTGTTGTTGCTGCTGCTGTTGTTGTTGTTGTTGTTGTTGTTGTTGTTATTTTTTAGCTATCAACCGAAATGTCATAGGTTCAAAGCCCGTGAGGGGTCTGGCGTTGTTTCCTTGGGAAAGGCACTTTACTCATATTTTCCTCACTTCGCCAAACAGCCAAATAACTATCTTTTCAGTTTGTTAGTGTTTGAGCACTCAATCAGCGACGTGTCATGTTTGCTTCCCGGTAATCAAGAATGTTTTTAAGTGTTCTAGGGTCTTCTAAGGGTAATAATATGACATACAAATTGTAAAGAGCATAGAGCTAGCTGTAGAGCGGGGAAATGCAACATACAAATGCTATTTATTATAAATTATGGATTATTTATCTTTCATATTATAATGATTGAAGTTATTGTTCATTGTTCTTTCCCGTCGCCTTCAAAGTGACCCAATTGTGTGCATAACAAACATGACATCTTGTCTTGCTCCCTTGTTCCCAGTTTCAAATTATTTTTAAGTATATTTAAATGGAGATGGTCTACTATGTAGATGTAGGTAGTTATAGTTAATATATGGCATATTTTGTACCTCTATTTGTACTACCTTTTGATATTTGTCCCTCCGCCTACTTGATTCTATTTTTTGTTCAATTTCTTGGCTGAACAGATCAATGGTGGTGGAAGTCCAGACGGAGTAGTGCGAGGGGAAAGTCACGTGAACAGAGCTATCCGGAGTCAGAAACAGGAAGCACTGAAGATTTTGCTTGACCTTGGTGCCAACATCTCTACTTCCGCTGCTCAAGGCGCGGGGAAATCAGCACTGCATCGAGCTGCAGCACACGGTACGGGGGCCATAGTGTGCTGCCTACTTGACTTCGGAGCCGACATCGAGGAAAGAGATCGCGTCCATGGCAACACACCCCTCCACGACGCATGCGCGTACTGCAACGGAGACGCCGCTTTGGCGCTTTTCAAGCGAGGGGCGGAGTTTAACGCTGTCAATCAGATGGGTAAAACGCCGCTTGCTAAACTACTCGAAACTGTTACGAGGGCGGATGATTTTACAAACAGATCTCGACTTGACTTGGCCGAGGAGCTAGTCCGACTCGGATTTGCTATCCCCGTGAACACAACGACTAAAACTTTGACTGTAGGTACAGCGAATACAACAGCTAGACGTGGTGGTCATGTCAAGGGCCGGACTCTGAGGTCGAGACAGACTGCTGTACTGGGTGAGAAGATCGAGTGTCACGGACTCCTAGAGAAATCTATTTATAACAATAATGGTGACTCGAACACAAAAAGCCCACGCGATACTGATACTACAAAGAATGACACCCCAAACAACTGTGGCTCGAAAAGAAAACAGTCCTGGAGGAAAGGGGCGGCGTCATATACAACTTCCGTTTCTGGTTCTACGCAGTTAACAGAATTCAGTCAACAAGGGGAAATCATCCCCAGTGGATGTTCTGTCTCAGGTGAACCAATCGCTTTCCCTACCAAAGAGAACAAACTCTACCAGCTCTATTTGAGCATTTTACGACAAGCATCCTGCTCTTTGACATTGCAAGAAAACTGTAGACTGACCATTGTCCGGTCTATAGAGGGACCTCTAAGACCAGCAATAAAGGAGCTGGGGTTGCCCAAGATTCTACAGCGATACGTACTGCTTGGGAATCAAGATGATTGTTTATAAATGGAAATAATTAAATTTTTCTCTCCAATTCTGACTATCCGTCGTCCGTCTGTCTTTCTTTCTGTTTGTCTGTCCCGCCCTACCTCCTCCTTCTCCAGCTCTCTCTATCCCTCTCTCTCTGCCTGTCTGCCCCCCCCCCCTCACACACCTTTTTTCAAACTCTTCCTTTTTCGTACGTCTTGAAGTTAAAACATTTCCTCCCCAATCTTAATTTTTCGATGTATAAATCTATTGCTTGAGGGCAAGCAAGGCAGGGGTAGGCCCAGAGCAATCTACTTGGGGAACCTGAACAAGTGGGTGACAGGTAGGGATCAGGGGAACGTAGTTTTTTTAAAGAGCATCTGAGCAAAGGAATGAGTTGAGAGCTATGATCGCCGTTGTCTGTCGCAGATCTGGTACTTAATGATGATGATGATGATGATGATGAAATCTATCGCTAAATACCAGTCTCTATTTCCCCTTTGTACATCACGTAGGGTATAGATAGATTGTCCCCTCCCCCACCCGCACCCCCCATCCCCCACCCCAAAGAAACATGCAAACAAACAAACAAACAAAACAACAATAACAACTACTACAAACAAACAAACAAAACAACAATAACAACTACTACAAACAAACAAACAAAACACAAAACGAAAAAAAAATCACGCACACAAAATCTTAACTGTGATGTGTACCTTTCTCCAGTTGACTTGCAAGCGACAAGTGGAAAAACAAAAATAAATGAAGTAATTTCATTCAAAGAAAAACTACAATATTGTGAGTGAAAGAGGATTTATTAAAAAATCGTATGTGAGCTTGTGTTTGTGCTTGTTCGTTCGTGAGTACGTGGACAAGTTTGTGTGTGTGTGTGTGTGTGTGTGTGTGTGTGTGTGAGTGTGTACGTGTGCGTGCTTGCGCGCATGTGTGTGCGTCTCTCTCTCTCTTTCTCTCTCTCTCTTTCGTTCTCTCTCTCTCTCTCTCTCTCTCTCTCTCTCTCTCTCTCTCTCTGTGCTCCCCCACACACACAACGAAAAATAATAGGTTCATCTTAAGGTATTCAAACTGATGATTCCCCATGTCTGACAAGCATGACGCCACTGTCCTTTGACCCTGACTTCTGACTAAAGGCGTGCTGTACTCACCACCTACCAAATGGATTACTACATTATTGACTACATGGTTATTAACCTCTTCACTGTCAGACCCGTGTCATGACTTGAAGAAACTTTAAAAGAAATGTAGATGTTTTTACGCCCCCATCGACACTTTAGATAATTTAGGAAGCGGGCTTCCGACACCGCCTGTCCGGGCCAACCAGGGCTGAGAGGGATGCAACAACTCAGCAGAAAGACCGAGATACTTGATTTAAATAAAAATAATCTCGCCACTCGGGAATCGAACCCTGGTCTCCTGCGTGCGACATCGAAGCGACCGCTGCTACACTACTCCACAGACGCTGATGATGTGACCTAAGTAATGGAGTACGTCCAGGATCAACAACAGTGCATTCTTCTAGTTTTAGTAAGTGTTTTACAGCACTTGCAACACGATCAGGTCATAAAAGGGCTGAAGATTAGAGGTGTTACAAGAGAGTAACAATACCCCCCCCAAAAAAAAATAAAAAAAATAAAATAAAATAAAAAATGGAGGAGATAAGGACGACAGATATAATTTGATGAGAAAGAGGTAGCAGACCACACCAGAGCACCCGCCAACCACCCACAAGTCCATACTACCTGCGGTTCATAAATCTAAAAAGAAAAGAAAAAAAAAAGAACATAAAAGTTCCTAACAGTCGACTACGGATTAGTTGATGTCTTAGGGGGAGTGAAAAAAGATCAATTCATAGGGTAGGAAGTCGTTCAACTTAACCGTTAAGACCTGTAAAGAACAAAAGCTGGTGGGACCCGAGAAAAAAGACCAACTTAACCAAAGATTAACCCAAAGGAGTTAAACACAAGTGGTGTAGACAGTTATGTTTTTGTTTGGTTCAAGAAGTTAGGTAAATCGATTTTCTCCGCTCTCAAACTGACAACCCAGTCACCAACAACATTCTCTCCACCTAAACGTTAGCTAAATTGAGCTTTTATCTAAGAACAGGGCTGACTTTTCCTTGGATAAAATAATACAAACTAAATTGTGAAGCCAGCGATAAGAACAGAATAAATAGAGAAAAGGTCACACTGAAGAAACATTCATTAGTCCTTTGATATCCTGTTTATAACGTGTATTCTTAGGGATACAAGGTTTTTGCTGTTTTCCTTCTTTCGGCATAAATAATCAAAGGCGCAGTCTTTTTTTTCAGTTTCCTAAAAGTTTTACGGCGCTTGCAACTGCAAAGAGTCATGTGTTGTGGTCTTCGATATTTACAAAACGAAATAAACTTGTACACCATTCGTGTTCGGACCTCCAACTTCCTTGTTCAGGTCCAAAACAACAATCAACATCCTCACACTAGCTGCCTTTTTGGCCCGAGAAGTCAGAGATTGTTCAAGCACCTGTTGTCGTCAGTTTTCACAAGCCACAGGAGAGGGTCATTGGTCGGATGTGTGGCTCAGAGTTGCTTTTGTCCTATTGCGTGTGAGCTCATTATTTACAACATGTGAAATAAGCATGCGTACCACATGGGGCGGCTGCTTAGAATGAACGTTTTGTTTTTACTATTCCCAGCCAATAATGATGATAATAGTAACAACAACAACAACAACAACAACAATAGTAGTAGTAGTAATAATAATAATAATAATAATAATAATAATAATAATAATAATGATAAAAATAATAATGATAATAATAATAATAATGATGATGACGATGATGATGACGATGATGAAGATGATGATGATGATGATCCTTCTACTACTACTACTACTACTACTACTACTACTACTACTACTACTACTACTACTACTACTACTACTACTACTACTACTACTACTACTACTACTCCTCCTCCTCCTCCTCCTCCAACTACTACTACTACTACTACTATTACTACTACTACTACTACTGCTACTACTACTACTACTACTACTACTACTACTACTACTACTACTACTACTACTACTACTGCTACTACTACTACTACTACTACTACTACTACTACTACTACTACTACTACTACTACTACTACTACTACTACTACTACTACTACTACTACTACTATTACTGCTACTAAAATATGTTGTTGGTGTTCGAGTGCTGGGCAGTGTTAATGGCCACTGAAGAAACAAAAAGCTGGTTTCTTCAATTTCATTATTTTGACGAGCGCCTGATTTAACCACACTGCCTCACATATTAATATTTATTACTTTCTGAATGTCGGTGACATATTGTAGTGCGGTCAAAAATTCGTGGCGAACCTTATTGTCAAATATTTCCTGAGCTATCGAATATAGACTCTCTAGCTTTTGCACAGAGACTTGTATCAATTGGTCTTAACATATACAGTATAAATATTTTTGTAAACACCTGTTAGTTGTATTCTAGAACATTCCTTAATAAATACCAATAACACATCGAAGTGGGTGGTTTCCACAGATTTTAAAAGAATTACAGCTGTGGCAATATCGCTTTCAAAAGCAAGTTCGTCATGTTTTTCTAATTGCGACATTATGTTCATTGAACGCTTTCTTTGAGAACCTTTAGTGCAAAAAACTGTTGACTATAAAATTAATTTCTTTTAAAAAGCGCATTGGTGAGCTGTGACGTAGGCCATATTACATGTATACGTACGCAAAATATTTATGTGTGAGAAGCGGGAAGTGCTGTGAATAATCCTACATTCTGCGTGTCAGAGAATAATATTTTATTTTTCATATATTTTAATATATAAAGAAACGTTTTTAATCCAGCCTCAATTGTTGTGGGAAAATATGATTACGTTAAGACAAATTGATACAAACTGCGGTGCAAACTTTGTCGACATTGATTCACCCTTCTTTAAAGAGAATGATATTTCCGGATAGGTTGCGCACGAATTTTTGACTGCACACTAAAGTAGTGGCATCATGGTGAAATCAGGCGCTTATCAGAATATCTCAATCAGAGAAACCGGGGGTATTTTCGGCCGTTGGGCAAATTTAATTTAATTTAGAATTTAAAAGAAAAAAAAAAGAAAAAGGAAAAAAATAAAAATAAAATGGCTGAGTACTTTTTCTATCTGTTTAAAAACTCATTTTACACATGTCTGTGTGGAACTGACTGAAAAACGTTGATCAAAGGCACAATAAACGTAAATTTGAAGTGTGCATGGATATCCAAGTTTTGAAAGTCATCAAAATTTGGCGGCCTATTTCATGCTAACATTATTTATTTTACTCTGAAACCAGGTGCGCCCCGTCCTTTTTCAATAGCACACATCTCTACTTCTACTTAAGACAGAAGAAGATTTTCTTTATCGGAATGAACTCACCTTAATAACATGATGTCAATAATTCCACATGCCAAGAAATTGACGATCACCTGATCCCACCACTTCATGGTACACCTACATTTATGTACATGCATAACAAAGAAAATAAGAAATTGTCCAAAAACAAAACAAAGCAAAAAAAAAAAAACAAAAACAAAAAAAAACAACAACCCCCCCCACCTCCCAACCACCGGAAAAACAAACAAAAACACATTATGTAAAAAACAAATATTGGTAAAGTTTCTTATTTTACCTAATCAAAATCAGACTTCCTAATGCACTATTCACCTTTTCAGCGTAAAGGGAACTGCTGTTGCCTTCAGTTGTAACAAGGTCCAGATGGGGAAGAAAAGTGGGTGTTCGGCGTTTGCTCATGGTGTGGTTTGCTCTTCCTGCTTTCATGTCTAACATTTATCCGACTTCTCTCTCTCTCTCTCTCTCTCTCTTTCTCTCTCTCTCTCTC